TTTTCCCGCATGTTTGGTAGTGTTTTTGCGATAATAACCAGTTTTTTTGCTTTGCCTTTTTTTTTAATTCTGACGCAGCAATCCTATATATTTTTTATTTCGGCATCATTTGTTTGTGTTTAAATAATGGTTAAAATACAAGTGCCAGTTGGAGTTAAAACAATTAATAAATATCATTTAAATGATTCTTACATGTACCTACAAAGCGTATGGCTGTCCTGTACACGCGTACAGGGATTTGTTGACATGATTCCATATAAGATATACCAATATGTATGTTATTTAGATATCAATGAAATGTTCTATTGGTTTGAAAAATATTTATCCCTTAATTAAGGAAAATGATCACATACCTTATTATTAAAAAAAAGTATCCGTACGTGGTTTCGAACCCACACCGTTCACTTTTTCTGGTCCAAAGCTAACTGCGTTACACATTAGTCTACAAAGGACATATAGAATATAGACGAATATGGACTGTTTAAACCCAAGAAATATCTGTCACAGTTTTGAGAAAATTGATCAACCCTATTTTTCATTATTTTGAGCACTTTCCCAAAGGAGGACCACTTTTCCGTCATACGATTTGTTTTCGGATATTACACCACGGAATCAAAAAGTTTATTCAAAAGTTGGTCCTCGGATGGGAATGTATTGAAAGGTTTTTTGTTTAAGTCCGAGAAACCCCGTCACTTTCATAGATATAGTGAATATGGCTATATTTGCAGTATTATATTAACAATACCGAATATCTCAACAGTTCAAAAATTCATATTCAATTGGTTTTATATATAGTATATTCGATGCATTTTCGCTAATACTGCAAGTGATTTACTCACCAATAATTTTTCCGTTTTCAAAACTGCCGACTTAGGGAAATACGGGCAGTTTTCCGCCAAGATCAGCTCCTATATACAGCCATTCCGGATTAATCGTATCCAATCTCCGAACGGTAAATCCTGCAACATTGTTTTGAAGTTCGGGATATGCTACCATGTTTGTGTACGTGGCGAAAGCTGTTTCCCCTCAGGTACAGCAGTTGACCTGTTTGGACCAAATGCACTAAGTATTTTAGGGTTGAGGCTTATTTTACTATTTTCTTTAATCATACGCTTCATTGGTCACTTATCTGATGAAGGTGACAGAGTACATATCGTACTAGTCATCGAAACGTTACATTGAAACACTAATTGGTTGTGTAACGTGAACAAAATTTTAACCATACTTACCAACCTAGAGAAAATGTTAAGAAATATAAACAAATAATTTAGTATTAAGTCTCAGCTTTCTCTATATTCTCTAATGCATGCACTTGGAATTATTTTATTACAACTGCCTTGCAGACCTATCGATATATATCACTGATATGAGATAAGGCATTGGCTAGTCTACAAAGTCTGGTAATGTAAATTACGTATCGACTACATGGTTTCTTGTATCATTTAGTGCCGACTCCTCGTGGTACATTCATACCCGAACATTTCACTTTAAAGTGTATATGTATTAGCCTTTGTTAGCTGTTTTATTGTGTAAAGTTAACAATAAAGTCTTACACCGTACATAACCACACATACAATGAAATGCATTCTAGGACCATCACAGACACATCATTCAGTATCCCGCCTCAGATTCCTTTTATCCCAAATACAATCTGTTCATAAAATCGTGGATATCTTGCTGGAATAATGCACACCATGATAAACACTACCACACACGTACAACTGAACCCCGTGTTACAACCACCATCAGAGCAGAAACAAGTGTTTTATCGAAATAGATGTATTTAGAAATTGAAAAAAGGGAACATGAGACCTTGAAATACGTTTGCAGTCAACGATGTTGCTTAACGCAATGAGCAGCATTATTTCAAAATATAGTTGTACAAGGTATAGAGTTATTTCTAGCTGGGCTGGTAATTTTCAGATAAAATCAAGGAAGTGAAATGGCGTGATAGGGTGCGACCTTTAAGATATCTCTATCACTATGTTCAATGTACCATTGTATGAAGGAAATATACACCACTAATGTCAACACAGATGTGTCCTACACCACTAATGTCAACACAGATGTGTCCGACACCACTAATGTCAACACAGATGTGTCCTACGCCGCTAAGGTCAACACAGATGTGTCCTACACAACTAAGGTCAACTAAGATGTGTCCTACACCACTATGGTCAAGACAGATGTGTCCTACACCACTAATGTCAACACAGATGTGTCCTACACCACTAATGTCAACACAGATGTGTCCCACACCACTAATGTCAACACAGATGTGTGCTCCACCACTAATGTCAACACAGATGTGTCCGACACCACTAATGTCAACACAGATGTGTCCTTCACCACAAATGTCAACACAGATGTGTCCTACACCTAATGTCAACACAGATGTGTCCTACAGCATTAATGTCAACACAGATGTGTCCTACACCACCAATGTCAACACAGATGTGTCCTACAACACTAATGTCAACACAGATGTGTCCTACGCCGCTAATGTCAACACAGATGTGTCCTACATCATTAATGTCAACCCAGATGTGTCCTACACAACTAATGTCAACACAGATGTGTCCTACATCACTAATGTCAACACAGTTATGTCCTACACCACTAATGTCAGACAGATGTGTCCTACACCACTAATGTCAACACAGATGTGTCCTTCACCACTAATGTCAACACAGATGCGTCCTACACCACTAATGTCAAACAGATGGGTCCTACACCACTAATGTCAAGACGGATGTGTCCTACACCACTAATTTCAACACAGATGTCTCCTATACCACTAATGTCAACACAGATGTGTGCTCCACCACTAATGTCAACACAGATTTGTCCTACATCACTAATTTCAACACAGTTATGTCCTACACCACTAATGGCAACACAGATGTGTCCTACACAACTAATTGTAGTACACCACTAATGTCACACAAATGTGTCCTACACCACTAATGTTAACACAGATGTGTCCTACACCGCTAATGTCAACACAGATGTGTTCTACACAACTAGTGTCAACACAGATGTGTCCTACATCATTAATGTCAACACAGATGTGTCGTACACCACTAATGTCACACAAATGTGTCCTACACCACTAATGGCAACACAGATGTGTCCTACACAACTAATGTCAACACAGATGTGTCTTACACCACTAATGTCAACACAATTATGTAGTACACCACTAATGTCACACATATGTGTCCTACACCACTAAGGACAACACAGATGTGTCCTACACCCCCAATGCCAACACAGATGTGTCCTACACGACTAAGGTCAACACAGATGTGGCCTACACCACTAATGTCAACACAGTTATGTAGTACACCACTAATGTCACACAGATGTGTCCTACACCACTAATGTCAACACAGATGTGTCCTACACCACTAATGTCAACACAGATGTGTTCTACACAACTAGTGTCAACACAGATGTGTCCTACACCACTAATGTCAACACAGATGTGTCCTACACCAAGAATGTCAACACAGATGTGTCCTACACCAATAATGTCAACACAGATGTGTCCTACACAACTAAGTCAACACATATGTGTCCTACACCAATAATGTCAACACAGATGTGTCCTACACAACTAATGTCAACACAGATGTGTTCTAACTCACTAATGTACCACTAAGGTCAACACAGATGTGTCCTACACCACTAAAGTCAAAACAGATGTGTCCTACACCACTAAGGTCAATACCACTAATGTCAACACAGATGTGTCCTACCCAACTAATGTCCACAAAGATGTGTCCTACACCACTAATGTCAACACTGTTATGTACTACACCACTAAGGTCAACACAGATGTGTTCTACAAAACTAGTGTCAACACAGTCAACACAGATGTGTCCTACAACACTAATGTCAACACAGATGTGTTCTAACTCACTAATGTACCACTAAGGTCAACACAGATGTGTCCTACATCACTAATGTCAACCCAGATGTGTCCTACACAACTAATGTCAACATGTTATGTACTACACCACTAATGTCAACACAGTGTTGACATTAGATGTGTAGGACACATCTGTGTTGACATTATTTGTGTAGGACACATCTGTGTTGACATTAGTGGTATTGACCTTAGTGGTGTAGGACACATCTGTTTTGACTTTAGTGGTGTAGGACACATCTGTTTTGACTTTAGTGGTGTAGGACACATCTGTGTTGACACTAGTTGTGTAGACACATCTGTGTTGACATTAGTGGTGAAGCACACATCTGTGTTGACATTAGTGGTGTAGTACATAACATGTTGACATTAGTTGTGTAGGACACATCTGGGTTGACATTAGTGATGTAGGACACATCTGTGTTGACATCAGTGGTGTAGGCATCTGTGTTGACCTTAGTGGTGTAGGACCCATCTGTATTGACATTAGTGGTGAAGGACACATCTGTGTTGACATTAGTGGTGTCCTACACCACTAATGTCAACACAGTTGTGTACTACACCACTAATGTTAACACAGATGTGTCCTACACCACTAATGTCAATACAGATGTGTCCTACACCACTAATGTCAATACAGATTGGTCCTACACCACTAAGGTCAACACAGATGTGTCCTACACCACTAAAGTCAGCACAGATGTGTCCTACACCACTAATGTCAATACAGATTGGTCCTACACCACTAAGGTCAACACAGATGTGTCCTAAACCACTAATGTCAACACAGATGTGTCCTACCCAACTAATGTCCACAAAGATGTGTCCTACACCACTAATGTCAACACAGGTGTGTCCTACACCACTCATGTCAAAACAGATGTGTCCTACACCACTAATGTCAACACACATGTGTCCTATACCACTCATGTCAACACAGATGTGTCCTACGCCACTAATGTAAACACAGATGTGTCCTACACCACTAATGTCGACACAGATATGTCCTACACCACTAATGTCAACACAGATGTGTTTTACACCACTAATGTCACTAATGTCAACACAGATGGGTCCTACACCACTAAGGTCAACACAGATGCCTACACCACTGATGTCAACACAGATGTGTCCTACACCAGATGTGTGCTTCACCACTAATGTCAACACAGATGTGTCCTTCACCACTAATGTCAACCCAGATGTGTCCTACACAACTAATGTCAACACAAATGTGTTCTACACAACTAATGTCAATACAGATGTGTCCTACACCGCTAATGTCAACACAGATGTGTCCTACACCAAGAATGTCAACACAGTTGTGTCCTACACCAATAATGTCAACACAGATGGGTCCTACACCACTAATGTCAACACAGATGTGACCTACACCACTAATGTCAACACAGATGTGACCTACACCACTAATGTCAACACAGATGTGACCTACACCACTAATGTCAACACAGATGTGACCTACACCACTAATGTCAACACAGATGTGTTTTACACCACTAATGTCACTAATGTCAACACAGATGGGTCCTACACCACTAAGGTCAACACAGATGTGTTCTAACTCACTAATGTGTCCTACATCACTAATGTCAACACAGATGTGTCCTCCACAACTAATGTCAACACTGTTATGTACTACAACACTAATGTCAACACAGATGTGTTCTAACTCACTAATGTACCACTAAGGTCAACACAGATGTGTCCTAAACCACTAATGTCAACACAGATGTGTCCTACCCAACTAATGTCCACAAAGATGTGTCCTACACCACTAATGTCAACACAAATGTGTCCTACACCAAGAATGTCAACACAGTTGTGTCCTACACCAATAATGTCAACACAGATGGGTCCTACACAACTAATGTCAACACAGATGTGTCCTAGATGTGTCCTACACCACTAATGTCAACAGAGATAGGTCCTACACCACTAATGTCAACACAGATGTGACCTACACCACTAATGTCAACACAGGTGTGTCCTACACCACTAATGTCAACACAGGTGTGTCCTACACCACTAATGTCAACACAGCTATGTCCTACACCACTAATGTCAACACAGATGTGTCCTACCCAACTAATGTCCACAAAGATGTGTCCTACACCACTAATGTCAACACAAATGTGTCCTACACCAAGAATGTCAACACAGATGTGTCCTACACAACTAATGTCAACACAGATGTGTCCTAGATGTGTCCTACACCACTAATGTCAACACTGTTATGTACTACACCACTAAGGTCAACACAGATGTGTTCTAACTCACTAATGTCAACACAGATGTGTCCTACACCAAGAATGTCAACACAGATGTGTCCTACACAACTCATGTCAAAACTGTTATGTACTACACCACTAATGTCAACACAGATGTGTTCTAACTCACTAATGTCAACACAGATGTGTCCTACACCACTAAGGTCAACACAGATGTGTTCTACAAAACTAATGTCAACACAGATGTGTCCTACACCACTAAGGTCAACACAGATGTGTTCTAACTCACTAATGTACCACTAAGGTCAACACAGATGTGTCCTACACAACTAATGTCAACACTGTTATGTACTACAACACTAATGTCAACACAGATGTGTCCTACACCACTAATGTCAACACTGTTATGTAGTACACCACTAATGTCACACAGATGTGTCCTACACCACTAATGTCAACACAGATGTGTCCTACACCACTAATGTCAACACAGATGGGTCCTACCCCACTAATGTCAACACAGATGTGTCCTACACCACTAAGGTCAACACAGATGTGTCGTACACCACTAATGTCAACACATATGTGTTTTACACCACTAATGTCAACACAGATGTGTCCTACACCACTAATGTCAACACAGATAATGTCAACACAGATGTGTGCTACACAACTAATGTCAACACAGATGTATCCTACACAACTAATGTCAACACAAATGTGTTCTACACAACTAATGTCAACACAGATGTGTCCTACACCGCTCATGTCAACACAGATGTGTCCTACACCATTCATGTCAACACAGATGTGTCCTACCCCACTCATGTCAACACAGATGTGTCCTACATCACTAATGTCAACACAGATGTGTACTACGCCACTAATGTCAACACAGATGTGTACTACGCCACTAATGTCAACACAGATGTGTCTTACACCACTAATGTCAACACATATTTGTTTTACACCACTAATGTCAACACATATGTGTCCTACACCACTAATGTCAATACAGATGTGTCCTACACCACTAAAGTCAGCACAGATGTGTCCTACACCACTAGGGTCAACACAGATGTGTCTTACACCACTAATGTCAACACATATGTGTTTTACACCCCTAATGTCAACACAGATGTGTCCTACACCACTAATGTCAACACGGAGTACATATGCTCTGTTTAAATACCACATATTTGGAATTGATGGTGGGTTCAAATGTCCATTCCGTGACCTCGTTCTTGTCGACTGTTAACGTCACAAGACACAACTCAACATTATGTAGACTTAGAATTGCGTTATTTGCATAATGATTTTCTTTGTGGTTGTAGTGATACGCTATACTGTAACGTTTTTCGTGATTGTACTCACTTCCTGTATATTTGTGTCTGCTAGTACTTGGGTATCTTTCCTGGATGATTGCATGTGTCCGTCTTGTGCATCAACTTGAATCTGTTCTTTTGTTGTGCAAGGATTAACAATGAGCTTCAGTAATACGACAATGAATTTTTTGAACATTTTTGAAAGTTGTTTGACCTCGGTCGTGCCAGCACTTTGCACGACCTAATCTTGGTGCAAAAAACAAAATGGAAAAGAAGAATTGCCCGATTGTCGACAGCCTGCTTGAACTTTGTTTTCTTTTACAATGATCCTATTTGGTTGTTTGGATGTTTTGATGTGTGTAGGGTGATGAGTTTTAAACAAATTGTTTTAAACAAAAGAATAGTAATTTGTAAGAAGATATGCAACAATTGTTATCGTTATACTGTATTTTATTTTCGTTTACTTTGTCCGACTCATTTCATAGGATGGATTCAGGACCACCACGCTTACCTTTAATGATTTAATTATATTTATCACATACCTGTTGAATCCTGTTATAGTAATACAAGCAATTTTCAGACCATGAAACACAACGTTCTGTATTGCACATGTGCAATACGGAATGTTGTATTTACCTACTAGCCGGAACTACTTTTTATGGGAATCCCCTTGTCATGGCGAACTGAAAAGTTCCCGTTATTTCCAAAAAATATCAAAGTTTATAAAATCTTTGTATCGATCTCTACCAAATACGGAAGGTATGTGATAAAAGCAAGACAACACACTTGTGTTTTTCTAACGAATCAGAAAGCACTCAATTGTTGCGCGGACGTATATATTCACTCGTGCGTCCCGCGCACTCGTGAATATATATTCGTCTGCGCAATAAACCCGTGCTTTCTGATTCATTAGAAAAACACAAGTGTGTGGTCTTGCATATTTATATAACAACCCGTAGGGAAACATTGACCTGTAACTGTGTATTGTCCTTTCTACTGGAGTGTTCTTGTGACGTACATTGTCCAATGACCTTGATATTGCCACAATAAAACCACTTACAAACAACGAGCACACCAGGAAAGTGGTTCCGAATGGAATATTTTCCTCTCCTCTAGATTTAATTCAAGCCCTCTCCCAAAGTTCTAGATTCAACCCGAGTAAATAATGACATACCGCAACACACAAACTCCCAATATTTGATCACGTTCAAGAGCAATTAATATTGGCAAAGTCTGGCTGATAAATTAAATACAATTAACAGGAAGTTTCAATAATAAGAGAGCAATGCACGTATAATTATCTAGATGTAATTAACAAAAGCTTGTTCAGCAAAAACATCGTTTATCATCTTGGTGCATAAAACAACAGTTCCTATAAAATGGTACAAAGTATATGTAGACAGCAATTTGTAAATTTTAGAGAAGAAAGATCTGGACCATTCTCTTGCGCAATCTGATGATATTTGCCGCCAACCGTGGTCTCTTATATTTATTCTCTGATTCAATCTTTTCATTCCTGACCAGAATACGAAATAATCCAGTAAATTTCTACAGTAGGAGATAACTTTCTTTGATGTTTGAAAGGTTTGGGATATAATCACGTAATGTGTCCATTTCCATTTTAAAACTACTAGCAAGGAAACGATTATATGATTACAACGTGTTGTAAGTGACAGTTATATAATGTTCATTAGTATTTCGGCAGGATCTGTGAAGTGATGAGGAGTATGACGTTATCAGATGAAATAAAGTGCCTTTGGCAGTACAGCTGACGCTGTCAGCTCTTTAACGGCGAAATCATCAGTACTGTTTAAAAACGACTTTCGTTTTTAAATTAAAAAAATGGTCCATTCTATATTGAATTCATTTCTTTTAATTATCAAAGTTCTTATTGTTAGAAATGCAATCAGAAAATGTACTTCAAAACTCCGGATTGTATTGANCAAAAAAAAAAAAAAAAAAAAAAAAAAAAGTGGAGATAAAAATTTAACAAATGAAATACTTGCAGGTATATTTCAGATATCTCTGTAAATTATTCCGCTAGTTACTTTGTCAAAATACCTACATACATGTTCCTCACAATTAAAGGTTTCGTCCAGATGAATTTTAATTGAATATTATTTAACAAAGTTGAAAGCTTAATCAGCCGTTTCATACAAAGGAAATGCATGTTCCACCCTTTCCACCCCACAAAGAATACACTAAGTGTGCGACGTCTCAGATACTTCTAGTGACGTTTAGCATACATCTATCGACGGTATTTTAATCTACCACGAGTCAAATGTTTCTCAGTCCGACAACTCGGTACCGCTGTTATACTGTTTCAGCAGCATTTTAAACATTTTTTTTTGTTACGATCAGTATGGCTTTTACAATGTTTATGTAAGGTTTCTTCTTAGCATGGTGGTAATACGACGTTTATGAAGGTTTCCTCTTAGCCTGATGGTAATACGACGTTTATGTAAGGTTTCCTCTTAGCCTGATGGTAATACGATGTTTATGTAAGGTTTCTTCTTAGCCTGATGGCAATACGATGTTTATGTAAGGTTTCCTCTTAGCCTGATGGTAATACGATGTTTATGTAAGGTTTCCTCTTAGCCTGATGGGAATACGATGTTTATGTAAGGTTTCTTCTTAGCCTGATGGCAATACGATGTTTATGTAAGGTTTACTCTTAGCCTGATGGTAATACGATGTTTATGTAAGGATTCCTCTTAGCCTGATGGTAATACGATGTATATGTAATGTTTCCTTTTAGCATGATGGTAATACGATGTTTATGTAAGGTTTCCTCTTGGCCTGATGGTAATACGATGTTTATGTAAGGATTCCTCTTAGCCTGATGGTAATACGATGTTGATGTAAGGTTTCCTCTTAGCCTGATGGTAATACGATGTATATGTAATGTTTCCTTTTAGCCTGATGGTAATACGATGTTTATGTAAGGTTTCCTCTTAGCCTGATGGTAATACGATTTTTATGTAAGGTTTCCTCATAGCATGGTGGTAATACGATGAATTCAATATTTCTGTGGTTTTATGAGAACGATTATTACAAACTTGAATTTCAAAGTATGTCAAAAAGCATTTATTGTTTTCTTTGGTGTACCCAATTTAAGTGATTACGACGTTTTTTGTGTAGGTTTTAGGTACGGAAACTTTCTATAGCGTTTGTAATAGAAATAATTACGATAGATTTGTAACGTCTGTAGGACCGACGACTGTCGTATAGGTGTACAGTGTCTATTTTGTGTCATTGTTACTTGTGTATGACGTTTACAGTGTATAATGCACAACTTGCTTATTTCAATGTTTCTGTTGAACTAGCAAATAAGTTCAAGCAGCGAAGTGTATCTTAGTCGGTTCTAAGCATTAGTATTATTAAAATACGAGATATATTTCAGTATTAAACTAACTGTGTCGTGTTGTATTTATGAAAGGAAACGTATCATTTCACCTTGTCCGATGAATTTTATTTACAATAGAGAAAAATTTAAGAGTTGACAAAACGGTTAAAAAATAAGGTAAATTCATTGTTATCGTGTAGAATGGCAGTGCTTTGCTCAGTGATTTAACGGGCTATTACTATTAAAAGTGTATCAAGAAGGTGTGGTCTATTTTGTATTCCTATATTTATAAACACTTCACGATACACCTGACATTTTAAATACAATTGTACATATATGTTACTATTTTTTCAGCGCCACACCAAACTTAGATTAACTGGAATGAAATTAAAGAAAGTGTTGGGTGATAATATTAATAAACATGAGATAAGATGAGAAAGAAAAAGCAGTTATGGTTGTTTTTATCTGCCAACTATATGTTTTGAGCAAATATATGTCTCCTGGTCTTCTGTTCAGTGGTAAAGGATTGCGTATCAAGAGTCTGGTTTCTTTTTTTTATTTTCATGGAGTTTTAAGCTTGCTAAAACATTTTAAAATTGTTTATTTCATTAAAGAAATAGTGTCTCTCAAGCGTTGTTAAGCATTAAAAAGTATACGATTAGGTTAATAATGTTTATTTAACATGTTGAATAGTTAAACATGGGACACGCTTCCGATAACACAGCGGCCGGGATAGTTTATAAAAAGTGCTAAAACCTGGTGTTCGCTTCAGCGTAAAACAGTGACCAGAGTTTATCAAACGTGCTCAAACAGTCATGAACAGTGGGAGCGCATCAGAATAAAACAATGGACAGAGTTTATTTCAAGTGCTAAAACATCGTGTAGGCTTCAGAATATAACAATGGACAGAATTTATTTAAAGTGCTGAAACATAGAATATAACAATGGACAGAGTTTATTTCTAGTGCTAAAACATCCTGTACGCTTCAGAATATAACAATGGATAGAGCTTATTTCAAGTGCTAAAACATCGTGGACGCTTCAGAATAAAACAATGGACAGAGTTTGTTTCAAGTGCTAAAACATCGTATACGCTTCAGAATAAAACAATGGACAGAGTATATTTCAAGTGCTAAAACATCGTGTACGCTGCAGAATATAACAATGGACAGAGTTTTTTTCAAGTGCTAAAACATCGTGTACGCATCAGAATATAACAATGGACAGAGTTTATTTCTAGTGCTAAAGCATCGTGTACGCTACAGAATATAACAATGGACAGAGTTTATTTCGAGTGCTAACACATCGTGTACGCTTCAGAATAAAACGATGGACAGAGTTTATTTCAAGTGCTAAAAAATCGTGTACGCTTCAGAATAAAACAAAGGACAGAGTTTATTTCAAGTGCTAACACATCGTGTACGCTTCAGAATAAAACAAAGGACAGAGTTTATTTCAAGTGCTAACACATCGTGTACGCTTCAGAATAAAACAAAGGACAGAGTTTATTTCAAGTG